CAGCTATATGATCAAGATGTACTAGAAAAAATACCACAGACATTTGTTTTTTCCTTTGTGGATCCCAATGTCTTATTCATGAGAATATTTCAAACTTTATTCAAAGCCAATTAAAATTATTCTAGTTCAGAATGCAGTCATCGTAGCAGAATCTATTGCAGAATAAACATTTAATGGCTCACTACTCTACCTTAATTACTTGAGACACTCATACTCAGATTATCAGACTATTTTCAACCTTGCTCATTGAAAATATGTGAGCTCTAGAATCATTCTGTAGTGAGAAGTGGGTCCCAGGTACCAGACAGCAATTTGGGAATTGCCCTCATGTTCTCCTGTAAATTTTAACCTACATTCCTTTGCTGTATGTGGGGTGGGGGTGGGGGCGCGGAATAGAACTTCCCAGGAGAAGACCATGAAAAGTCAATGCTTTCATCTCAGCTGTAAATTCACCTAAGACTTAAGCCCGAGGGTCTTCTGGGCTGTGTTTCTCATGTACGCAGCAGCCTGTATTTGGGACTACTCAGAAGCTATCCTAAGATTAGAGAAGTACACAGCTGTATTTAGGAGACACTCTCTTGAAAGGCCATTTAAAACCTGAGTGCATTTAATTTAGCTTTCGTTACCTCCCTGTCCCTGTTCCATCCTCCCACTTCCATGTCTCTCACCTTTTTCCCCAACTTTGTCCTTCACCCACTGGGCAGTCTTCTTGACATTCTCTGGGTTGGTCACATCCAGAAGCACAGTATGAAGTCTCTCTGAGGTTTCTGCCTTTAAAGCTGTTGATCCTGATTCAGTCAGACAGGCAGCGATGACATGAAATCCCTTTTTATCAAAAGTTTTGGCTGCCAAGTTTCCAAAGCCTGAGTCACATCCAGTGATAAAAATGTACTTATCAGTGATGTCTGCAATCTTTAGATTTCCTTTACAAGTCCACAGAAAAACACAGAGGATTAGGAGGCCTAATACCCAAAAGAGCATTTTTTCCCCTGTGTGTGATAGGTACACTCCTTTCTTGTATAATAAAAGAAGATGGTGTCCTGAGTGTTCAAAGTGAAAAAGAAAATTGAAATTAGAACCACCAAGGCATTATAACCCAGGACTGATGAATTTGACATATTTTAATGCATTTGTGTGAATAAATAGAAAGTTAAAGAAACAATAACTCTTATTTGATTGTTTGTTGGAAAGATGGCCATCTAAATGATAAATTGCTCGTCTAACATAATGCAAAAACTAACCAAGTAGTATTCGGAAGAATTAAACAGAAGAGAGGGAGGAGGGGGCCATGGTAATTGACATGAGCCATTGAGTTGACATGACCAACTGGAGCTGTGTGGAGTGATGGCATTAATCCCAGGAGTGAACTCATCTGTCAGGAAGACAGACTCTTAGAGTAAAATCTTCCCTCTTGCTAGTTCCTAAATCTTACCTCTTGCTAGAATGGGCTTAAAATCTATTAGAATGAATAATTCAATTTTAATTGTTCTGTCATATTCCCAATTATCTTCAAACTGTCAGGCGAAGAACAGCATTTTGGTGTTGCCACTAAGCAGATAGCCCCAACTTGATTAACCCATTTTAAATGGGTTAATATCAATCTTCAACCCAATTCTGAGATCGTTACAACCCAATGCAGAGGAGTATTAAAGTGGGAGGCAGCAAGTGAGTTCACCAAGAAAGGGTAAGATACATGGGAAGCAATTGAGAGAGAAATGCAGGCAATGCACCATGTCCCAAACCAGACTCCCATATCCTCAAATTCTGTCTTCTCTGAAGACCTGTCTCCTGTGGGGAAAAGAGCACATGGACAGAGGATAAAGTAAAGCAAAACTATGCTGTAAAACTGAAGATTTGACCATATATGCAGCACAACTACTTGGAAAATTAATTTTGTCAGGGTTAGAGGTAGCCTAGGGCCTAAAATCAAGCAGGTAGAGGGCTTTCTTTCCCTTTTCCTCAGAAGCCTGCATCTGCATTTCCCCTCAGCATATATTACCATGGGGTACTGGGACCAGGGAACAGCAAGCCGTTCAGAAAGAAGTGAACAAGAACCTGAGGGCTATGCCTGGGTGCCAAGGCTGTATGGTTGGCTGCCTCAGGTCTGAGTACTATGGGCCCAGCCCTCCACACTCATAGCCATGGGGCAGCCCAAGAGAATGAGATCATCAGCTCCCTCACCACAGAGGAGCAGGTCTGAATTGGCTCTCTTAGCCTGTGGAAGGGAGAAGGGCTAAAGAGAGCATCACATGTGGGAAAGACTTTATTTTCTTCCTCTATGACCCAAAAAGCTTCCTCCTGTGTCCATGCAATGTAATTGCCCTTATTCTTGACCCACCCTTAGACTCAAGAGGGGCTTTGAGTGCCTCACAGAGAACAATCAGTAGTCCCTGAGTTAAAGTTCATACCTTGCAAATGCTTTTGGAATCATAGCTATTCCTGGACACTGTGTTCAATAAGGAACTTCTAGGCCAAGTGAGTTTATAGACTTTGGACTTTATTTTCTTACAGTTATTTTCTGATTTTTCCTTTGAATTATTTTTTAAAATGCTTACAAAAGTAATTTATGCTCAAGAAACAAACAGGAAAAAAGAAAATAGTAATGATTGTAACCCTTGACTCAATATTTTTGTGCATTTTCCTCATTTTTTCCTGTATATGTAAATTTTTCTTTCTATATCAAGAAATATAAACATACAGAATTTTAAACACCATGCACGCAGACACACACACACACACACACACACACACACTTTATTTCTACTGCTATATGAGAAACCGACTATTTCAGATTTTTAAAAATTCAATGTAATGTCTTCTTCATGTCTCAAGAAATTTTGGGGCTCTGCTTTTATCTTTCTTTCCCCACAATATCTATAACTAAAGGGAAAAAAAAGGATAAAATTGTTATTTCGGCCAGGCACAGTGGCTCATGCCTGTAATCTCAGCACTTTGGGAGGCTGAGGCAGGTGGATTATGAAGTCAGGAGTTCTATAACAGTCTGGCCAACATAGTGAAACCCCCTCTCTACTAAACGTACAAAAAAGTAGCTGGGAGTGGTGGCATGCACCTGTTATCCCAGCTACTTGGGAGGCTGAGGCAGGAGAATCACTTGAACCTGGGAGGCGGAGGTTGCAGTGAGCTGAGATCATGCTATTGCACTCCAGCCCCAGCACAGTGTGAGACTCTGTCTCAAAAAAAAAAAAAAAAAAAAGAATTATCAGTTGATAAAAACTACCTCAGGGGAATATTAAAATATGTTAGGTTTGGAAAACCTGCTTGATTCTTGTGGTGTACTGTGACTATTTCTAAAATAGTCAAGTTTTTAGACTACTGTGGCTTAATTACTTGGGATAATTTTTCTAACTCTTTTCTGTGTAGGAGTTTTGAATTGTTGCAAGTCAATGTCCGTAGCAGCATTTCCCCTTCTTAAATACATTACAAATGTGTAATTATGGGAGGGGAAGTGCAAAATTACATATTTAAACCTTTTAAGGAAATTTCATATTTGTGAATTCAACTAGTATAGTGTTTTGCTCAAATCTAGCTTCAGTAAATAATCACTGAATGGCTGCATATTTAATATATTTTCTGAATAGATTCTGTAGCTTTCACTGCAATCTAAACTCCTAGGGGAATTATTTGAAGATGACAAATTTTGTGGGGTTTTATATTCTCTAGAGCAGAGAGTTGAAAGTTTTTGTTGTCATTTTTTTCCAGGGGCACACATGAGGGAGTAACAGTAAAATAATGGCATACATTAGTAAGGCACTGTATGCTGCACTTTCACACACAAGTCTCATTTTGTCCTTTGAACAGTGTTTTGAGTTAGAAAGGGCATATTCTTTGCCTCAGAAACCGGCTCAAAGCAACAAAGTGATTTGCCAAGGTTACTGGGACTGGAGTGCTATTCCACTATATGAGACAGATGAGGGGTGCTGGGGACTGGAGCGCTCCACTCTGGGCTGGGCTGAGAAATGTCCAAGCTGACAAGCTGAGCTGATAAAGTCAACACCTCACAGCTTGCCCATGCTTGCTGAGAGGCTGGGATAAAAGTCCATTGACCAAAAGCAACATCTGACGTCTGAAGTTGTAGCTACAGTGTCATCTCCCCTCATGGCCTCCTCTGTCACAGTCTAATAACTGACTCAAGATCCCAGAGGGAAAGTAGATGAGGGAATAGGGGAAGGGAAGCCACAAGGAGGATATGTTCTTTTCCTGTGCATGAAACTGAGTTACCAGCCCCAAAGGGATTGAATTCAGTTAGATGGATGACTTGGGCATCTATGAAAGCATCTCAGTCAAAGGGATGCATCAGAGCTTTGAGAGGGTCTGTGGATCGAATTCAGGGATTTCTCCATTTGGATAGGAAAAAGATTCCACCTTTTTTTCAAAACTGTAACTGAAGTTTAGCGCAATCTTCAATTATCAAAGAAACAACAAACTATGGTAGTATTTGTAGTGCCTGTGATTTTGTTACTAATAGAAAAAGTGAACATTTTCATGTTACACTGCATTTGTTGGAGTTATCTCAAAGTATGATTAATGCTGATTACTACTTTAAAATTATGGTGGTTATTGTTCCTGCCACCATATGATAATAAAATAAACATAAATATTTTTGATGTATTTCAATGCAGTAGGTTTCTTTTGTAACACTATGTATTTCACTTCAACTGTAAAAAATTATTCTCACTTCTGAGGTAGCTGTGGTAGTGACAGTCATGCCAATCCAAATTTCCTAGGACATACTCCAAAAAATATGTACAATTCAACAAGAAGAACAAATAAAATCCATGCCACCACCAGAACTAGAAAACAGACAATCCAAATATTTCAAATTATTTGAGAAAATAAGCACAGTTGAGCCCTGAACAACATGGGTTGTTTGGATCCCGTAATGGGATCCAACTGCCTGGAACCACTTATGTGCTTATTTTCTTCAGCCTCTGCCACCCTCAAAACAACAAGACCAACCTCTCTTCATTTTTCCTCCTCAGTCTACTCAACATGAAGATGATAAGGATGAAGACCAATATGATGATCCACTTCCACTTAAAAAATAGTAAGTGTATTTTCTCTTTCTTATGCTTTTAATTATATTTTCTTGTCTCTAGCTTACTTTATTATAAAGGTACAGTTTATAATACATATACAGAATATGTGTTAATTGACTATGTTATTGGTAAGGCTTCTGGTCAACAGTAGGCTATGAGTGAAGTTTTGAGGGAGTCAAAAGTTATATGTGAATTTTCAACTGCATGGGGCGTCTAATCCCTGCGTTGTTAAAGGGTCCACTGTAAATCAGTTGTGGCTTTACATTGTTAGAAAGAGGAGTAGCAAATATGAAAAGGGAGAAGCTGGAACAAACCCTGTGGAGTGGGATTATAGTTGGAAGAATCAGTAAGAACTCATGGTTTTTAATACGACTAAGTAAATATAGAAGTAGGTAACTTTCAGGCTGGGTGCAGTGGCTCATGCCTGTAATCCCAGCACTTTGGGAGGCCAAGGCAGGTGGATCACAAGGTCAAGAGATCAGGACCATCCTGTCCAACATGGTGAAACCCCATCTCTACTAAAAATACAAAAATTAGCTGGACATGGTGGTGCGTGCCTGTAGTCCCAGCTACTCGGGATGCTGAGGCAGGAGAATTGCTTGAACCCAGGAGGCCGAGGTTGCGGTGAGCCAAGATCATGCCACTGCACTCCAGCGTGGCACCTGGCAACAGAGTGAGACTCTGTCTCAGAAAAAAAAAAATAGGTAACTTTCTAGATCTACCTGATGAGCTAGAAACAATGACACTCCAATAGCAGTGAGCATACCAAGGGCTCAGATACTGATTTCTAAACATTGTGTTCATGTGCTTTGGAAAAGCTAACATCAGGGCTGAGCTGGGATGGGAATGTACAAAATAAGCCTGGAGCATCTTATGCTACAAGCAAGTAAGTGCTCAAAGAATGCTGGAGTTATATCACTAGTACATAGGTGTCAGCTGGAAAGGGCTCCCACTGGCCAAGAATGAGACGATTTGAGCATCAAAGCCAATAGTGGATAATAATCCATTGAATAAGATAGGAATTCATGAATCCATTCTGAAGTAAATGAATCGATAAGGGTCAAGGGAAAAGATTTCCTCAGAATTAATATGCTCATCTAATAAGTGTCTGAGGAATGATGGAATTAGAATATAACCATTTGGCAACTGACATAGTGACAATGGTTTCAGGCAGGAATGATCAATAGATGCTAAAACTAGTGGGTGAAATTTGGATGAGAGATAGTAATTATAGAATCTCAAAGAATCTACCTGTCATGTACTTTCAAATTAAAGAGAGAATAATAGTGATTATAGTGGAAAAATCTGACAGATACCATCTTAACCAAGTGATAAGGATTCACATCACTAGTTATGGAACAAACCAGTGTCACATGCCGTTGGATATGGCACGCAGGGAAACACAACAGCTCTACTGTGCAGCACCCAAAGCTGATTATGAATGGGGAAGCATCTTCCAGTGCTACTAACTATATGGCTGTACTCTTCAAAAACATCAAAGTCATGAAGGAAAAGAAATACTGAGGACCATTTCAGATCAAAGGAGACCAGCAAGATACAACAACTACATGCAACATGTGATCCTGGATCAGTTTTTTTTTCTTTTTTCAGAAAGAACATGATTAGGCCAGTAAGTGAAATTTGAATCAGATCTTAAAATTTGATAAATAGTATTGCATTAATATTAATTTCTCAATTTGATAATTATACTATGATGATGTAGAACATGGCCTACATTTTAGGAAATACATGTTGAAGTATTTAAAGAGTAAAGAGCATCATGTCTTCAACTTACTGTCAAACATTCAAGAAAATAATAGTGATATGTATGTAAATACATAAGCATATTAAAACCACAGATATACCTATGTATATAAAGATAGAATGAGAAGGCAGATGTGGTAAAATGTTAATATTTGAGGAATCTGGGTTGTCCTAGTCTCTAAATGTTTTCATAATTCTGAAATTATTTCAGAATAAAAAGTTAAAAATTTGGCAAAGGAAAATAAAGCTTTTTTTTTCTGTGAAAGTTTTATTGGGATGTTTTGGGTGTCATGCACAAGATAAGTAAGAACCCCAGAATTTTGAATATAGTAACTTGGACACCACACTACCTGTTATCTACACATTGGTAGGCTCACCCCCACAACTACCAGAGAAGAACAAAAGCTCAGACCAAAGTAGTTGGATTCCCTCTTTACTCCTCATCCATTTCGCATCCCCCTCAATATCCACCTTCTCTATGCAAACCCATTTTTTCCTGATGACAAGCAAACAGGCCCTTTTTTGCTGTTAAGAATGGACTCACATTAAAATGCACTGTCCTCATGAGGTACAGCTCTGGGCTGAGGGTCGTTCAGGCCTACAGTCTAAATCCTAGGAACTGCAAATGTTGACCTAGAGTTTTGCTAACACTGTCCTTACCCCAAGTATTTTTGTCCAAAAATGCTGGTTCTGCTTCAGTCTCTAGGTTCACATTCCTCTAGACCACTTGACTAAGTCAACCACAAACACACACATATCTTTGACCTCTAGTAATATTTTAGCCAAGATGCCACCTCTGAGCAGCAACCTGGGTCAGAGCCATGAGAACATGACCTATACACAAAGCTGATTGATGGCCAATTGGTTCATTGACCACTGAGAAATAAATGAGTAACAGCGATTGTAGGGCTACCTCAAACACACTATGCTAGCTGTGATTGCCTCTGCATGGCCCCTTGGTCCCAGCAATTCAGAAACTCCAGGAACTGACCTTAGTTGCTTAAGTTGTTTGCTTATCTGTTGTGTCTTTCAATTTATCTCACAACAAATTGTTTAATAGGGCATAAATCTCTTGGTTGGAGGCAGTAGAGCAGTAGTTAGGATTCCAAACCTCAGAAGCAAGCAGGCAGAGACACCATCTCAGTGTTACTATCATCAGATGGCCCTTGGACAAATTAACTTTTTTTTAGCCCCATTTTAACTTTTTTGTTAGCCTCAATTTTCCTACTTGTAAAATAGAAGTACAACATCTACATTGGAGAGTACTGAGTGAGGTAAAGTGACCTAATGTCTGTCTTGTTATCTTCAGGGCAGAATGAATCGCTTTCACTTTATGAGGCAGTATACTCTGTGTATTGCTCATATTTGGGCATGGGTTCCTCCACCTCAATACTTTTGATATGTTGGGCCAGGTAATTATTTGTTGTGGAGTCAGTCCTGTGCATTGTAGCATGGGATTTAGTGGCATCCCTGACCTCTACTCTCTAGTCAGCAGTAGCACCCCTCCCCCAGTTGTGACAACCAAAAATGTCTCCAGATAATGCCAAATGTCTTCTGAGAGAAAAAATATCCCCCAGTTGAGAACCACTGTTCTAGCACTTCCTAGTTTTGGGACTCCAGAACATCATAGCACTAGAACTACTTTTTTGGAGACTTAGTCATTGGTTCCTTTGTAGTGTCACAATGATGAGTTTCTTTTTTTAATAGGCTTAATGGAAAAGTTGTGTTGCCTTATAAAAATTACTCATATTCTTCTGCTGTAAGCATTAATTTCTCTCTATATAAATATTTTTAAATGTCTTTTTGTCATCAGGAGGATAGGAGGCTGATATGGTTTGGCTCTGTGTCCTCACCCAAATCTCATCATCCAGTCACCTCCCGTTTGGTCACTCCCTCAAGGTTTACCCCATGCTGTTGACACCATGCTGTTCTCCTGATAGTGAGGCAGTTCTTATGAGATCTGATGGTTTAAAAGTGGTGGTTACCCCTGTGATCTTCCTCTCTTCTGCTACCATAAAGAAGGTACTTGCTTCTCCTTCACTTTCTGCTGTAATTGTAAGTTTCCTAAGGCCTCCCCAGTCATGTGAAACTGTGAGTTGGTTAAACCTCTTTCCTTTGTAAATTACCCAATCTCAGGCAGCTCTTTATAGCAGCGTGAAAACAGATGAATACAGAGGCCATTAGCAAAGCCAAACTTATGTATGATACCATTTGTGAGTTTAGAAATTACCAAATTAGCCCTCATAGTATTTGCGAGGTCTGGATTCCAGCTGTGCCTTTTGAGCTTGAGCACTACAAGCTGCTCTGGGGATACCCTTTGATAGGTGGCCAGCTGACTCCACAGAATTCAAAATATCCTCCTAGTAAATCTATGGTCCTCAAGTTCCTGGTTGATCAAGACAGGGAGGAATGATAATAACTACTATGATTCATTGAGTACTTAACATGTTCTAGGCCCTCTTCTAGGATCTGTAAATATTTATCTTATTTACACCTTACCATAAAATTATCCTCATTATAGAGAGGAGGAAACACATTCAGAAGGTCTGTTTAATTGGCCCCAGCTACAAATGTAGTGGTGATTCTGGGACTGACACCCAGACCACTGAATTCTACCACTGCTGTCTACATTCCCACTCAACTCTGGGCTATGCATACACTTCTCTACATCACCAGTTCCTTGCATGATACTTGCCATTATGTTGATGTTTACTAAATGTTGTACAGCAAAGAAGGAAAAGAGGAAGGAATGAAGGAAGTCTCTACTCTAGCTCCAGAGTTCTAGTGATAATTGGATTAATCTTTGAGATCTCTGAATTGTTGGGTCAAAAGGATAATAGCAATTATACTATAATATTCACATTTCCAATTTTGATAACATTAAAAAATTTGGGGAAGTGTTTATGTAATATTTATCTCATGTAATTGTCAAGATATTTCTTGTGTAGAGTAGAGGTCAAAACTACGGTCACTTGCCAGAGAGTGACCAGAACTACAACTTCAATCTCTGAACTTTTAAACTGTGTGAAAAGAGAAAGAAGAACTGCAAAGAGATGAACACATTATGAGTTGACAGTGGGCACAAGAACACTTTATCAAAAGTTTTTTACCATACCACAAAGATTCAAAAGAAACCAAGAAAGGAGAACTAATTCTGTCTTTCATACACCATGCACAATGATTTATAGTAACTGCCTGTCAGCAGCCAAAGGAAAAGATTACAAGTGCTCTCCTTGATCACTTCTGCTTTTCTTAACTTTCTCTTCCTGGATTTCTTTTCATAGTACAAAAGTTTAAATAGGATTTTTTTCCCACTTCTCTTATTTACCTTCCTCTGTTCCTTAAAAATAAATGACATATTAAAAAAAGAAGAACAGAAAATATCTCAATATTATTGTGAGTTATACTTTTTATAAGCAATGTGGAGTTCTTCTCGATAGTTCCTCCAAGACCAGTTGATTTTATTTCCACATAACTTCGTGAAGTGTTTCCGTTTATAAAGCAATACCAAAGGTGGTCAACCACACTGACAGGAGTTTGTAGAATCTTTATTTACTTCCATTGTGTTGCAATTGTGGCCCAAGCTGAATCAACAACTATGATGTTTACCAAAATACATCAAATAGAAAGCATTGAGCTATGATCTCCTGAAGTATTCTCTTTTTGGAGTTCTCTTGCACAGGCTTTCTTAATACTGAAAGCCACTGGACATGTATGCCCCCTATACATTGAAATATTGTAAACCTAGTTAACTTACACAACATTCCATTTCACTTTTTCCTTTTCATTGAGGTAAAAAAAGAACTATTTTTTGTTGTTGTTGTTGTTTGGTTGGTTTAAAAAAAAAATCCCAAGTGGTCTTTTAGAGATTTCTGGTGCACTTTAAGAAAAATGAACACTGGAACCTATTGACACAAACTAAAGAATTATGTTTCTGTGAAAACTGTTCAAATGGGCCACCCAGAAATCTGAAAAAAAATTTTTTTAATGGAGCCAAGGGACCCTATGTTATATGTGCTTGCATTAAGCAACAAATGCTTTTTTGAGAGTCTGACTGTAATAACAATTATAATAATTATTTTCCTGCTGATGATATATAGTTGAGTTAGTATTTACCATCATGGGAGGGCAAGTCCCTTACTCAATGGATGAAGAAGCTCCTCCTCTGGTTAGTTACATTTCCCTTGATTCCTGCTTCCCTGAAAGTGGGAGGTAATCTTTGGCTGCCAGACTGTGCTTTGAGTAGTGGGACAGCGAGGCATGGAGTTCATGTGTGCTTCCGCTACAGATTCACTCAGACAGCCTCATCAGGACACAGCTGCCCTCCCTCCCACCAGAGGTGGACCAACTCCCTCACATAGGGAAGATCTACTGGATTTGCATTTTGCATTTTTAGTTCTAAGGATAGAAGCACCTCTGTTTTTCCTTTGCCTTCCTTCAAAACTTTTAAATTATAATTCACCATCATGTCCGTAACTATTCATTAATTATCCTGAGTCCCTCCTAGGTTTATTATTTTGACAATGTTTCCTGACAGTATTAACAGGTTAAGAATTATTGTTAAAGCTATGATTATTTATGGTCATTGTATAAAAATTACTAGCTGAGAAAGATTATATGTTATGCATAATTATCATTTGTAGTCACAGGCTTTAAGGAAAGCTCAGAACATAGAACATATGTATAGATTCCAAAAGCGTGTTCGAAACTTCATGATATTTCAGCCACAGTGATCTTTAAGCAGAAGAAAGGGTCTGAGTTTTTAAACACTGTCCGTTAAGATAGTGACATTTGTTATAAGAGTTTTAACACCAATTCCCATTTTCTACCCTTTAAATGTTTGAGTTAATGATTTTTTGTGTGTACTTAAACATTGAGATTTGTTCTAAAATCTGAGCACCTCTTTGAATATTAAAAATAGAATATGAAGGTGATGTAACATTTAACTTTCACTTTATGCAGCGTGTAACCAAGGACATTTTTAGAGCAGTTAATATATGCCAAGGGTTACTAAGATCAATAGCACAGAAGCACAGTCTGCCCTTGGTCTAATAGTATAGCAGGACATTTCAGAGCCATTGTACAACTCTAACTTGATTGTTGATTTGAAAATATATTTATTGAAGTACACCTGTTAAACATCAAGCCATTGAGAGAGAGCCATATCACTATTTTAAAAACCAAACCACCAGGTCATAAAATGGGGAGTAAGTACCTGAAGCAGACTTATCGCTGCCACCCCAGGTTCCAGGGATCAAATATGAACTGTTGGGAATTTCCCTGCTTTTTCATAACCTACAAGGCATTTTTCTTCCTCAGTTAGTGTATATATGTATGTGTTCACATAAACTGACATCTGATAATATTGATAAAGCAAACAGATTAACAGATCAGACGTGCAGTTGACAGTGAATCTGTTGCTTCAGTAAGAAACTCATCTAAGATTCCTGCGCTTTTTGGAAATTTTAGCCCTCCAGTTTCCAATTAATCATAAGATTCAGAGAGGGTGTCAAGTAGGCACAGAGAAAAATAACAAAATACAAATTGAAATGGGATGCTAGGATGCTAAAGGACATTCAAAGAGAGTCCTGGAGGAGTTTAAGGCAAGATCCCAGGTCACACTGATATCATTTCTATAGTGAGATGCACCCAGCTCCCTTCACTGGATTCTAATATGTTACAATAAAAGAAGTAGCAACAGTTGACCACAGCTTGAAAGACCATTGATTCATTCTGCAAAAGTGAGAAAAATCAAAGAAAGTTTAGATTGACTTGATAAATAAAAGAATAAATGACAAAAACTGTCATCTAGTTACCTTATTAAAGATGAAGCGTGACACAGAAACTGTTGGTGGACTTGCTCAGCTGATGGCAGCCTTCTGCTGTGCACGGGGAAGGAAGAGTTGTGCCACCCTGGCCAGGCTGATCCTCTTGAGGTCGAGGTGCCTGGGTTTCTGTCAAGCTCTGAGTACTACATGTGTGAGGACTCCTCAGGTTCTCTCCTTGCTCTGTGAGTCACTCCCATTGTGACACAACGTGATGACTAAATCTGTCCTGAATAGCTCATAAAAGCCGAGAAGTTGTAGCTCACATGTTTCAAAAGGAATCAGCAGTATAAATTTAGCCACTTTTAGAAGAGATTTAAAAATGATTAATAACATTCATTTTATGATGAGTTCAATCTCTTGACCAAATTCAGCAGCAGAGATAACATAACATAAAAAAATTTTGTAGACTGCCCAGTGCATTGTTTGGATACTTTTCAAATTATGATTATTTTTCATAATCTCCATTTTTTTCCCTTCCTGTTAGCATGCCTTTGCTTCTGTAACACTCCTTCCCTCCTAAGAGTATAAGTAGGAGAAATCATTCTCTGAGATTTGTGTTACCATTTTTCTTAAGATTGGTGAGCAGGGAGATAAAAACAATCATAATAAAATGAGATTTTAGAATTACTTATGGATCTTAATTTATGTTTTAAGATATGACAAGGAGAGCTTACTAAAGTGGTCTCTGGAACTGAGACCAGAGACCACTGAGAATAGGAAAGGATGCCTCTTCCCTCCCAGAGTTTGTCTGTTTCAGAGTTGATCACAGTTGACCTGGCATATCCTGGGACCACAGTGGAAAGTATTGAGGCTGCAGGTGAGGAGGGGAAGAGATGGTGCTAATATCTTCCATGTAGCCTGCCATCCTTCACCGAACTCACCACTGTAGCCACATAGGCAGGTACACCTGCCACTTTGCTGATTTTTCATTTTCAGTTTCCTTGTGTGCCAGTTTATTGCCATACTCTTCAGATTTCCCAGGCTCTATATTCCTTCTTTGAAAATTGAGTTATTATGGTTCAGCTGGAATGAGCATATGAATGAACATAAATGTCTAGGTGTAGTCTAGACACTGCCATTACCCTTTAAAATAAGTGGGGATCTTTTTTCTTCAGAAGAACAAAAAACCAACATGAAATTTACTCAGATACACACAGTGCCCAAATGTGCTAAATATATATTTTTCTCTTTAACATTTCACAAGTATGGCTTAAATATAAAACCTCATAGATAAATAGTACATTTACTTAAATCCACAAAAAGAAAGGTGTAAATAATTAACATTGAACCTTTCCTGTGAGCATGTTATTGTCAGTGAGAGGTGAAGAGAGCCTCATGCACCTGGGTGGTCGTGGAGTATTAACTGAAAAGGGCAAAGAAAAGGTTATAACAGTAAAGTTTTGCTTTCTTAATAATCTTGCCTAGTGCAGCCCCGTTTCAAAAACTTTTCAAATAGACTTTTAAAAAATTAAATGTTTAGACTGATTTGCATATTATAAATTAGAATTCTTTTTTGGAGATAGAGTTTCACTCTTGTTACTCAGGCTGGAGTGCAATGGCGCGATCTCGGCTCACCGCAACCTCCGCCTCCTGGGTTTAAGCAATTCTCCTGCCTCAGCCTCCCGAGTAGCTGGGACTACGGTGCACACCACCATGCCCAGCTAATTTTTGTATTTTTAGTAGAGACGGGGTTTCACCATGTTGACCAGGATGGTCTCAATCTCTTGACCCCGGAATCCACCTGCCTCGGCCTCCCAAAGTAGTGGGATTATAGGTATGAGTGACCGCGCCCAGCCAGATTCTTGCCATCTACTGGCTTGTCCCTCAATTCCAGTGGGCCCAACTCAAAGGGCTCAGTTTCAGTATATTGGCACCACAATTGAAACACACCTTCCCCTTGTCCAGTGGCCCCAAGTAAGTGATCAGTTAATGAAATCATTTGTTAGCAGTGTCTTATCCAGACTGTAACTATATACACATTCAAATTCACATCTCAACTGCTAAGTTGTCTTTCATTTCACCTCTTAATATGCAACCTTTGAAAGTACTACCTTGTTCATTACTATTCCTACATTGAGTTCAGATCAAAGATCACATTAAAAAAAATACAGAGTGAAATTGCCATTTGAGGTTTTTTCCTAGTTCTTTTTTAAAACAAAGGATTGCACTATGGATTTTAATTTAATGTTTGTAGGTGGAGTGTAAGTTTACAGTGGTAAGGCTGGATACCATCATAGGCAACACACTAAAGATAGAGTTACCCGTTTTCTTCTAAACCTATATGCCTCCCATCTGGCTATCCAAGAGTGCCTTCTCCATCCTTTTCCAAATGCCAACAAGTAAGGAGGAAACTCAGATCCAAGGCTGTCTCAGGTGACATACATCAGGCTTCCTGCAACTGCACCGTTCTGGGGATGGTCTAAGTCAGAGAATTCTAAGATGAGCTTTGACTGGAGAAAAGCACTTATTCCAGGGTGCAGGCTGTGGTGGGTCCAACTCCTGAAGTATATCTGGTGTCACTCTTGTAAGGCTGATGAGCAGGGTGAGGCTGTGATGGAGCAAGCATAGCGGCCTCTTCCTTCTAGCATAATAGTGTAATCCTCTCTCTGAAGTCACTCTCAGTGGAATGTGTTTCTCTGAATGACTATGAACTGGTATAAAGACTTCATGTTTTAAAAGTGTACTTTGTATTTTCTCCCTCCTCCCTTTGTCAACAGGCAGTTCTCTTATTTCTATTATAAAGGGAACCATACATTTGTCCCTTTTTTATACAAACAATGCCTTTGACATTTAAGTAGCTTCTTTGTAGCTAGGTTTGGTCAAAACTACCAGCTTTGTTATTGATTTGGCTTTTCATGACTACCAGCTGTAAGGTGAAGCTGGGCTAATCTTTTGTTTCTCTATACTAGATGATCTTTAGATATACAAATAGTTAGGGACCAGGTCATGGGAACATTTGGTGGGTTCTTTAAATAAAGATTTTTCTTATTTGCAGAACACGTATCCTTTTAGCTTACCCAACAAGAGGTCCTCGGTTGAAAAGTGAGGTGAGAAGTATTATATTGGGGATTATTGTTCTGGTAGATGGAGCAAGAGAGGAGATGGATGAGAATGAAAGTAACAAATGAACAGAAACACTGTGGGTTTCCAGCAACAAGAAAGGACTTGCAAGAAGGAAAGATGAAGGCTTATGAAGAAAACATGTTTATCACAGCAGGAGGGAGGTGGGTGCTCCTTTTGGTATGACTATCACATGTGGAGAGTTAAAAGTTTTCCTACCTTAAGAATGATCTTCCTGCTAAGTTTCCTAGTTTGCTTTCAGTCCCAGGCAAGTCTTTTTCCCAGAATCTTAACTGAGATGATAAAATATCAAATGAAATTAAGAGCAGATGCTAGATGCAGCTGATTGTGTAATATGTAGGAACTATCCAGTAAAAAAGAGGGATTCATGAAGTGGGAAGGAGTGAGTTAGAGACAACTGTCTTCAGACCCTGGTTTGGGGTGTTCTGGACTTTGATTCTATGTGAGGCCTATGTGGCTAAAGAGATTCAGAGATGAATAGAAAGGGGCCTTTCTATTAGGGATCATTCACTGTTAACTCATTTATCACTGAGTAAGGAATCTCATAGAGCTTTCCCCTCTCCTTGAAGAACCCCTGATCCTTGCTGGCTCCTTGCGACTAAGATTGTGTGGGGAAAGGTGATCTCATCCTTTGCTGGTGGATATGTAAATTGCTGCAGACTTTTTTGAAAGCTGTCCAGAGAAAAACATCTGTTAAAATAAAAAGCTAATATTTGAGACAAAATCCTACTCCTAGGATTCTGTCCTATATAAATGTATATAACAGTGTATGAACAGGATGGGACAAAAAGAACTGGGAGCAAAGCAAGTACCCACTAGTAGTGAGATAACAGTAAATTGTGGTACATATGCACAGTGGAACATTATTTTGCAACCACTAAATACAACACACTCAAGCTCTACTATTTGACTTGGAAGGCTTTCCATGACCTCATTTTTATAAAGCAAACTCTGTGCATGTGTAAAGATATCTATGTGAACATGGAGAAAAATATGAAGGGGAAGTGGTGTGCACTCTGTTTTTAATAAGGGTTACTTGCAGATATAAAGTATGGGCAAAACAAAGGCAAGAATGAGGTAAAAGAAAAAAATACTTTTTAAAAACTGCACTGAAAATGATAGGATCTGACACAAAAAGCGAGGAAAAAGTCCTGCCTTCTGCCCAACCAAAAACACCCCAAAGCAAAAAAAAAAAAAAAAAAAAAAAAAACCTGAATCTAATGGGGACTTTACATCCAATGACTAATTCACAGGAAAAACTGAGAATAAAGGAAACAATTGCAACTATAATCATCAGAGCAGCCAGGGATTCTGAAATACAAACAAATGGATTTATTCAATAGATAAAAATCACAGACAAAATGGAAAGGGAATAGGGAATGTTCTCACCTGTAAGTGGCAGCTAAACCACGGGTACATGTGGACACAAATGTGGATGTAATAGACACTAGCGACTCCAGTGGGGAGAATGGAGGGGGATGAAGGTTGAAAAATACCTTTTGAGTACAATATTCAGTATTTGGGTGATGAGTACATTAGAGGCCCAATTCCCCCGCTGTGCATGTAATGCCCATGTAACAAACAAGCATAAGTAACTGTTGAATCTAAAACAAAACAATCAGAAAAAATGAAGGAACAAGCTTTAAAACAATAAATCTATTTATGGCAATGTTTATGACATAATTTAAATAATGGATACTTGATAATTAAGGAATTATTAATTTTTCAGACATGCTGATAACATGGTTATTTATAAAAGAGTCTTTATCTTTTAGGTCAATTTCTTATTTAATTAACCTAAATATTAAATGAAATATATAATTATCGAAGATCTTCCGGGCTCCTCCCTCCTCAAGATGGCCGCTGAAGACGAGTTACTGCTGCCGCGGCTCCCAGAGCTATTCGAAACCAGCAAACAGCTGCTAGATGAGGTAGAAGTAGCGACTGAACCCGCCGGTTCCCGAATAGTCCAGGAGAAGGTGTTCAAGGGCCTGGACCTCCTTGAGAAGGCTGCCGAAATGTTAAAGCAGCTCGACTTGTTCAGCCGAAATGAAGATTTGGAAGAGATTGCTTCCGCCGACCTGAAGTATCTATTGGTGCCAGCGTTTCAAGGAGCCCTCACCGTGAAACAGGTCAACCCCAGCAAGCGTCTAGATCATTTGCAGCAGGCTCGAGAACACTTTATAAACTACTTAACTGAATGCCGTTGCCATCATGTGGTAGAGTTTGAGATGCCTGAAACGAAGGACAACTCAGCTGAAAATCACACTGCTAATTCCTCCATGGCTTATCCTAGCCTTGTTGCTATGGCATCTCAAAGACAGGCTAAAATAGAGAGATACAAGCAGAAGAAGGAGTTGGAGCATAGGTTGTCTACAATGAAATCTGCTGTGGAAAGTGGTCAAGCAGATGATGAGCGTGTTCGTGAATATTATCTTCTTCACCTTCAGAGGTGGATTGATATCAGCTTAGAAGAGATTGAGAGCATTGACCAGGAAATAAAGATCCTGAGAGAAAGAGACTCTTCAAGAGAGGCATCAACTTCTAACGCATCTCATCTGGAGAGGCCTCCAATGAAACCCTTCATTCTCACTCGGATCACGGCCCAAGACAAAGTATTTGGAGCTGGTTATCCAAGTCTGGCAACTATGACGGTGAGTGACTGGTATGAGCAACACTGGAAACATGGAGCATTACCAGATCAGGGAATAGCCAAGGAAACGCCAGAAGAAGAATTCAGAAAAGCAGCTCAGCAACAGGAAAAGCAAGAAAAAAAGGAGGAAGACAACGATGAACAAACACTGTACAGAGCTCGGGAGTGGGATGACTGGAAGGACACCCATCCTAGGGGCTATGGCAACCGACAGAATATGGGCTGATCTTCCCACAACACCACAGGACTGCAGGGTGCACACCTCCCCCGCCAAGAAAAATCATGCAGTCCTCCCTCCCTGGGCTCCCGCTTCAGCTATGTACAACAAAGGCAAAGATGCTAAATCTTGCTTTGCATTCAATAAAGTGTCAAGTGATTAAGTGTGTATTTGTATCCTAGGTGATGTGAACCAGCAGTCTTGTTTTGGCATCATCTTCATCATGTTGTATTCTGATTTCTTAAGTAGAAAGAAAAGAGTGCTGAGAAATGGCTCTGTATAACCAATGGCTGTCTGAATTCTCTAAAAAAATAAAAGTCCCCTCTATTAAAAAAAAAAAGAAAGAAATATATAATTATCTATTATTTCAAAATAATAAAGCACTGTAAGGAACAGATAAGGGTGTGGATGGGCAGGATGACCCATGGGTTGTTGGCAGGCCTGATGATATGTACATTGGCATTCATGATACTGTTCTGTCTACTTTTATGTACGTTTTAAGTATTCAATTATAAAAAGTTTAAAATATGACATGACCACACCTTGTTATTTACACAGAATATTTTACAAATATGCATGTATTTTTAAAAGAAATTAAGTTAAAAAGAAAGACTGATTTTGGCTTTTTTTTTTCTTGAGACAGGGTCTAGCTCTGTCACCCAGACTGGAGTGCAGTGGCATGATCTGGGCTCACTGCAACCTTTGTCTCTCAGGTTCAAGTGATCCTCCTGCCTCAGCCTCCTGAGTAGCTGGGATTATAGGTGCACATCACCATGCCCAGCTAATTTTTGTATTTTTAGTAGACACGGGGTTTCACTGGGTTAGCCAGGCTGGTCTCGAATTTCTGACCTCATAATCCATCCACCTCAACCTCCCAAAGTGCTAGGATTACAAGCATAAGCCATCGCGCCCGGCCTGATTTTGATATTTTTAAAAATTTTCCTGAAGTAAACATTCTGCAGAATTAAAGTTAAAAACTGCATTGTAGAGGAGGAGGGGGACATACTGAGATTAACTTCAGGTCTGTTACCTGTGCCTGGGATGAATATCTTATTAAGAATGGGCTGCCCACTCAGTGGAAGATATAGTTTCACTGTCAGCATTTTATACTTCTCAATAATCATTCAAATGTTCACTGTTCCTTTGCCATATGGTGTTTAAAAAGTAGATACCTCATTGCTATTTTTAAAAATGCATCAAATGCTTTCCCTGTGGTTACAGGGTTGAGCCTGTATTTGCAAGACTCGCAAATGTCAATACAAGTATTTTGGATATTAATCAACAAAACCAATCAGGTCCCAGGTATGTATTGTGCAAAATACTTTGCCAGGTGTTTTTGAAAATACAAATGATCTAGGACAGTAACTTGGCCCTCAACAAGCTTGCAATATCTGGAATAGTTGATGGTTTTACACCTAAATATTTTTATCACCTAGATGCACTGGATTCACTTAGTTTGCAAGATTTATTGACACTATTATGTTTACTGAAATTTGTGAAAGACCACTTCCCCCTTTGTGCTTTTCTGGATATAATGTTAGTGCCCTGCTTGACTGCAAGAACGTAAACTTGACTTTATGGTAGTTGTTTATTTTAAAATGTGAATTGTTAGTGTGAAGGCAAACTGCCTATAAACCAATCTGAGTACAAAACTGATAGGATTTGGAACTCATTACCCCAAAATATGGAATATTAGCATTTGCAGAAACAGCAGAAGCAGTATGTCACATTCACCCTTGCCCCTTCTTTCCTGGAGCAGGTCATAAAATGTAGCTGACCTTCCCCTGAAGTAGGTCATAAGACTGTCATTCCAGAGGTGCCCTCCCTGTACCCAGAGGAAAGAAATGTGCCTATCTCTGAAGACACAGAGACAGAGAGAAGAATCTGAACAAACAGGCCTTGCTAAGTCTCCCCCAGTTTATTACCATTAGATCATAACCCCTGTAGCTAATTATACTTCTGCACAACTATCCACTCTTCCTAGCATAAAAATATACAAGTTTACCTGGATCTCCAGATCTTTATTTCCGAAGGCTCCCATGTCATGTGAAACATTTATTAAATAAATCTGTATACTTTTCTCTTGCTAATTTGTCTTTTGTCATGGGGCCTTAGCCATGAACCTAGTGATGAATGAGGAAATAAATTTTTCTTTCCATACACACTAAATCCTGAGAATGGTAATGTCAATGAAACTTACAAAAATAAAGGACATATCATTATAGCTACTCTCATACCTTAAGAGGATAGCTATAATGATATGTCCTTTATTTTTGGAAGTTTGGCTGTAGAAAACGCCCTATAGTGAAGTAGATCTGGCCTAATACAGGTTAATTTCCAAGCTATCAGTGGCTTCTGTGTGATGCCAAGCATTTGTTAAGTAAATGTCCCACATGAACTTTGTGCTTGTATCTTCACAATATACCAGGAGAACTTCCTCCTGGAACTTTCTCCTGAGTTTTCTCAGTGCGGCACGCGGGAGGGAAGGGCCTGTTTTTACAACTCTCCAGCAAGGGAGGAGAGCCTTTCCTTGCTGAATCAGAGCTGTAGCACTGCGGTTTCGGCTTTGTCCATCTGTATGGAGGCTTGTTTAATCTTTGAACAAAATACGCAGGGTCAATAATCCCAGAAATGTTGTGTACTGTTCTTTTTAGTTAGTTTTGTTATTAAGTGAAAGTAATTCAGTTTCCTCTAACAAAAATGGGAAGTAAAGCAAAAGAAGAAAACATACTCCTTATTGATCAAATCAGAGTAATACTAACAGTCTTTAGTTTTGTTTGCCAAGTACTACTCCACAAGCATTATCTTACCTAATTAGCACAACAACCTCATGCAGTTGTTTTGGCTCCAATTTATAACAGAGAAAACTGGGACTCTGAGGGTGAAAGAATTGATCAAATTTACTTATTCAGACCTAGATCTGTCTTACCTCAGAATCCATATTGTTATAATCAATCACTGTTACAATTTAGAATACATCCATTTAGTCTTTTACTCCCTATGATCTTTGTTTCTCTTTCTATCTCTCTCTATACATATATATATATACATATATACACACATATATATATACACACACATATATATATATTTATGCATGTATAATTTTTCATTCATAAGGGAACTCTGCCCTTCCTTTTTTTATATACTTTTATTTTAAGTTCAGGGATACATGTGCAGGTTTGTCATATGTTGAGAAATGCTGAGTGTATGATTGCTGAGAAATGCTGAGTGTATGATAAAATATATACTAGGAAGAATGATGGCAAGGAAAACCTAGGAGCCTCCCCCATCTTCAAGTGTAAAACAACTTGGGGCATTCTAAAGCGGAAGGACAGTATATAAATATCATACACTGGTTAAAACAATTCTTTAAGCACAGGATATGTGACCCTGCCCCCATGGCTCCCTTGTGGAGAATACTTTTTAGTTTGTCTGTGATCAGTGGTAAGTGGGCACCAGCTGCCTACCTGGTTTATTTTTGTGTTATGAGAAAATACTGAACATCTGTTAATAATCATCACCTGTTTAGAGAGAATAACTATGTGGGTCAGAGTCGGTTTGGGGCCCTCAGCCCGGAATGCTGTCAGCCCCCTGAGGCTCTCTGCTTGGAAGGCTATTGGTCTCCAGAAAGTCCCGCTTTGCTGTTCTATCTGGGTGTCTGCTCCTTAATTCCGTCAGCACCCCCTGGGTGGGGATCTCTACGGCCGAGCTGGACTCAATAGTTATATAGATAAACTTGTACCATGAGGGTTTGTTTATAGATTATTTTTATCATTCTGGCATTAAGCCTAATACTCATTAGTTATTTTTCCTGATCCTCTCCCTCCTCCTACCCTCTACCCTCTGATTGGCCCCAGTGTGTGTTGTTCCATCTATGTGTTCATGTGTTCTTATAATTTAGCTCCCACTAATAAGTAAGTATGGTATTTGGTTTTCTGTTTCTGCATTAGTTTGCTAAGGATAATGGCCTCTAGCTCTATCATGTTCCTGCAAAGGGCATGATCTCATTCTTTTTATGGCTGCACAGTACTCCATAGTGGTGGATATGTATCATATTTTCTTTATCCATTCTATCAGTGATGGGCATCTAGCTTGATTCCACATCTTTACTATTGTGAATAGTGCTGCAATGAACATACCTGTGCATGAGTCTTTATAATAGAATGACTAATATTCCTTTGGGAATAAAACCAGTAATGGGGTTGCTGGGTCAAATGGTATTTCAGTCTTTAGGTCTTTGAGGAATTGCCACACTGTCTTCCACAATGGTTGAACTATTTTACACTCCCACCAACAGTGTATAAACATTCCTTTTTCTCCACAATCTTACCACCATCTGTTAGTAATATTTTTTGACTTTTTAATAATAGACATTCTGACTGATATGAGATGGTATCTCATTGTGGTTTTGATTTGCATTTCTTTAATGATCAGTGATGTTGAGCTTTGTTCAATATGTTTGTGGTCACATACGTCTTCTTTTTAGAAGCGTCTGTTCCTGTCCTTTGCTCACTGTTTAATGGGGGTGTTTTTTCTTATAAATTTGTTTAAGTTCCTTGTAGATACTGGATATTAGACCTTCGTCAGATGGATAGTTTGCAAAAAATTTCTCCCATTCTGTAGGTTATCTGTTTACTCTGTTGATCATTTATTTTGTTGTGCAGTTCTTTAATGAGATCCCTTTCATCAATTTTTGCTTTTTTTGCAATTGCTTTTAGTATCTTTGTGATGGAATCTTTGTCCATGCCTATGTCCTGAATGGTACTACCTAGGTTCTCTTCCGGGTTTTTATAGTTTTGGGTTTTACATTTAAGTCTTTAATTCACCCTGAGTTGCAACAAGCAACTATTTGCTTAAATAATAAAAAAGCAAATGTTTAGTGATGCCCTAGGGAAAGACAGTGTTCTATGTTTATAAAAAATTGAAAAATTATTTAATCATGACTGTCACATTTTTAACAGAACAGCACCAGTAATTTTTTAAACAACTGTCAAACATGGTGAATGATCACTTCAAAGGTGAACAATTTTTGGTCTTAAATATTTTCAGAACCTTTTTCTCTATTTTTGTGATTTGAAATTTTTACCAGAAACTAACCAAGTGTGGTTCTATTTATATTTTGAAATTTATCTACTCAGAAAGTTAATTTATTAAATGATTATTGCTTCAATTTTATTGGCTTTGTTTCTTCTTCAGGAAGCTTCACAGTTCTTACAGGTCTGCATTTTCTGTAATTTAAATTGATCATCTCTACTTCCTTATTTCATATCTTCCATGTTCTTCTACAGTTCGGAAGAATTCTCAGGTTTACGTATCATGTCACAGATTCTGTTTCTTATGTTTGCTTGTTGTTTACTCTTTATAAAGAAGATTTCAATTCTGTTATAGTAATGCATTTTTAGTTTACTGGTCTCCTTTCTGATTTCCTTCTATTATCTTTTCACATAATTATTTTTTCTCCTCCTGTCTTTACTCCTATTTCATTTATTTTATATGTCCCTGCTTCCTATTCAGTTTGCCAAACAGTTTTCTAAATTTCTTTTGATGTTAATTTTAGACACTTTCAGGCCTGTGTACTTGTTATTAGTGTGCTAGGGCTGCCATGACAAAAGACTACAGACAACACAAAGTTTATTTTCTCACCATTCTAGAGGTTGGAAGTCCAAGATCAGGGTGGTAACTGGTGTAGTTTCTTCTGAAGCCTCACCTTGCCTTGTAGATGACTGTCTTCTCATTGTGTCCTCACATGGTCTTTCCTCTGTGCACCCCCCATCTCTACTGTCTTTTGTGGGCCAGGATGCCTCACAAAGATGCCTCTTCTTGAAGGATGCCAGTTAATTTGGATTAAGTCCTACTCTAACAGACTCATTTTAAATTAATTATTGCCTTTAAAGGTGTTATCTCCAAGTGCAATCACATCCTGAAGACTAAAGCTTCAAGATAGGAATTGAGGTTGGAGAGGACAATTTAACCCATAACAGTACTTCAAGTGTAAGAATGATGTTCTCTTTTTGTCATTAGTCATTATGTGTATGCATCATGTTTTGTTTTATTACAGCTTAGCCATTTTTGCACAAGAAGTGATGAGTCTAGAAATGATGTTTACAATTAGATAAACATAGAAGTTTACCTTGGAAGTGCTTTTTGTTCATTTGGATAGTTGTTTTTGTTCTTGTTTTTGTTTTGTGGGCAAAATACACGTAACATAAAATTTATCATTTAAAATTTTAAGGTATGTGATTTAAAGATATTAAGTATGTTCACAATATTGTGGAACCATTACCACTATTCATTTCCAG